TGAGCGTGTTATAAACATCAACCCCGTGCGAGCGGATAAAACTGATCAGCTGCTGACAGCAGAAAGGGCACCAAGATGCAGCAGGGAAAGGTCCAGGTATCCAGCCAGGGTCAAACACAATCTTTGTGCAAATGACAGTCACGCTGTGCTACTATAATCCACCACTTCAGCCAGTTCAGGTTACGGTGGGCTCCCGGGAGCTCGCATTGTGTTGCTGAATGAATGACAGAGCAAGTCTTAACAGCGATCGATGTCGTCTGCAGCACTGCTCGGCCGTTTTAAACGGCCAGAGAGCCCAGAACCAGCGAGCAAAAAAAAAAAAAAAAAAAAAAAAAAAAGGAGTAAGGGGTAACTCGGAAGTATCGTGTTTCCATTCTTGCTTAAGACCATCAGCTCTTCCCTCACTTGCACGACTGGTCACAAATAGACTTTCTACACGCAGAAGCCTTCAGGAATCAAGGGAAGCAAGTAGGTTTAGATGGATTTTCTCCAAGTAGGGCGGCAGTTCAGAGAGGTGCAGACAGGCCAGTAAAGACTTGAGCCAGCATCGGTCCATCTAACAGCGCTGAGGGAAGGGTTCTGTGCAAAACGTTTAGCAAAATCCCTTCATCTTGGAGAACAGGTTCTGGCACAGCAAGAGGCTTTTCTGAGAAAGACAGGGCTGTGCCGTGGGGAGCAAGTTACACGCAGCTCGTTAGTGTTGCCCAGGTTAGCCCACCTCTAGCTGGCTATGTCTACCGTGCTGGACTCCAACGAGCAAGACTCAAAGCTCTGCTTGGCCACACAAACTGCAAAAGCAATCGCTTGCTGTGCTTGCGCGATCCCCTCAGGTACCAGGGGACGATGCAAGAAAGAGTGACACTCCACTTTGATGTCTTTATTTAGGCTCTCTAAGCAGCGAGGCCTGTGCATGTGATTAAATACATCTTGAACCAAAGAGTTTGGCTGCTTTGCTCCTAGAGAAAGCAAATCTGTATCTCTGCGATGGATTTATATAGCTTTAATGTGGTGAGGCAGCTGGCAGGTAAGAAGCTTAGTTCAACACACTGGTGCCTGCAGTGAGCGAAAACTCAGCAGGAACATGGTGTCCATCTACTAGGCCTAAACAGGATGGTTTAATTATGCCCAAAATTCACATCAAATAACCCACACTCTCTGGAGCACCAAAACCAGATAACAACCACCTGGCAGAGGGTGCAACACCCCACTCCTGAATGTCCCCGTGAGCGAGTACAGAGCCATTTCCAGACCAGAAAGGTGTAAATTAAGGCAAACTGAAAAGACAAGTCTGAAAATAAAAACACTAGGTGTTCTCCAGCCTGCCGATCACCGCACCCGATTAAAAACAAGTTTGTGCAGTAGGTCTGGAGAAAGATGCTGCCTAATCTGCAATGCACAATGCACCTGCCGAGCCTAAGTCAAGGATCTTAAAGCTATTAAGACTTGAGCAACTTTGAGAAGTCATTCCCACCAGCACCTCCAGGACAGGGCAGCTGGAAAGAGACCTACTGGCTCTCACGTTAGGGCAGCCAGAGCCACAGCATTTTGCAAAGGTCCTGTCAGCACACACAGCCTGACGCTTCTCCGCCGCTCAGCGCACGGAGGGACTGGGAGGAACGTAGCGCTCTCGTACAAGCGCCACGAATTTAATTACACCTTGTGTAACTTTGAGGCTGGCGTATCAGCAGTAATTCAGAATTAAAAATGCACCGGGATGATTCTTCCCCATACCGCTAAAAAAAGAGGTATCTTTACAAGCTTCACACTGCAATGGGTTTTCCAATTAGCATTCATAAGCGAAAAAGTTAAAAATATTCTAGTGCCAGTAATCGCAGTCCTAAAGCTGCCTGAGCTGTTCGTTACTGGTTGAAGAAGAGAGTAACACTCAAAATATTCATGTTGCACTTTCAGATCCATCAGAAGTGGAATTTATGCGTGTGCTCACGTAACGGTGGCCCTGCAGACCCAACCAGAAGGGCCGCTGCAACAGATGTATTTGTAACTCTTTTACAAAGGCTCCAACGATTTCTTTTTTCTCTTTAAACCATCAACTGAACTTTCACTTTATCAAGAGAAAGAAAAAACCCTCCAGATCAGCAGCTGCTCGCTGCCTCTCCCAGATGGTCTGGATTACAGCTGGTTTATGAGCTCTGCACAAGTTCTAGCGATGGACACTGGGACAAGTCAACCAGTACCTCTCGTGGGACAAGACACAAGATAGGCACAACCCAACGAGGAGCCCACCAGAAGGGTGCAGAGCTTGAGTATTGAGCAAACAGGACCCCTAGTTAATCCCGTTTTGTTCAGGCAGCGCCAAGATTGGTGCTTTGAGGTGGCAAGTTGGGCTTTTCAATGGAGGAGACACAAACTCATTTGGCTACAACAGCAGCCTGATGGGACTCCCAACACAACAGTCCATTTCTGCAAGGGCCACTTTGAGGAATGGCTGGTCAAAAACATCATCAGGACAGTTCAAGGCTCTTTGGAAAAGGAAACAAAGTGTTTACGCAGCGCATTTTTCCAGTTCCTTTTCCTCAGGAAGCCTGACTCTGCCAGCACTGGTACCAGACCAAAGCTGGAGGAACAACCTTCAAGCTTCCAGTTTAACACCTCATCTGCCTGCAGAAAGAGTGGGGCAGCCCAGAACGAACCAGGCTCTGCTCCAACGCTACTCGCTAGGCGGAACGGTTGAGCCAACACCATGAGTTTCAGGATCGGGAACATCCCGGCTGCACCAGGACCTTTGGTTTCTATTCACTTGCTTTTCCACACGAGCTGCTCAAGTCGAGATGAAGCCCGTCCTGCTCTAATTGGTATTTCAGAGGTAAAGCCTGCACATCAGAGGCAAAAATAAGTGCTCCTGCACGCTCTCAGGCTCTGGAGTTTGGTCAGCACACCTTAAAATACGGCCGTAATTTATTCCTTTTAACTCAACTGCTGATCATTAGCATTAGCTTGTCTTAAAAGTGATTTCACAAGAGGCCTTTTGTCGAATTTACATTGGCATTTGTCAGTTTGAGATTAAGCACGGTGCTTACCAACTTGATACTGCAGCTCACTCTAAAGCATAAATTAACATTTTAATGGCGCTCAGATCTATTGGAGGCCCCTTCACCAGCAGCTCATTATATTTCACCTCCCCAAAAGTCTGTTTCCCTGCTTTGCTGAGCCAGAGACAGGTTTTAGGCCGGACTACAGCTTTTCCTTATCAAAGGGAAGAAGCTTTTGCCTTCATAAGTCATTCCTGCTACCTCAAAGGAAGAGCCTTTTGAGAAAGGAATGAAAGCAACCAGGAAAGTTGGGTTTACCCTACGGCAGCAGCTGGAAAGACGCTCCCACACTTTGCACATTTTCTTTGTGCCACATCCTGGTTTTGTTACCATTATTCCCATACTCCAAAGAGGGAGATGATAAACCAGATCTGCCTTAAGCAGCCGTGCCCTGGTCCTCTGTCAGCAGACATGATGCCTTCGCCGCTGTGGCAGCCCCGTCAATCACAGCGCCGAAGCCACAGGAGGAAGCGCATGTATTTCTATTTACAATTAACCATCAACAGGGGAAGTGGGGGAAATCCCTCACGGCCAACCCCAAAGATATCTCTTTGTCTAGCCACCTCTCCCCGTTAACAGGAGGCAACAAAAGCAGGAAAGGCTATTTAACAGCGAGGAAAACCTCCTCTCCACCATATTGGATTTTCTTCCCCCCCTTCTTCAAACAATGCCTCTTATTCCTAACCTGCAAACCACCCTTCAGACCCTGCTAAACCCACAGTGAATAAGCTACCAGTGGCCCCAAGCATCTCCCCATTTGAAGGAAGGCAGGAACCAGAAGAAATCCCCACTAGCAAACCTCACAGGCAGCGGCACTGACATTTTTTTTTTTTTCCTCTC